AAGTGAAGAAACACCCCTCTATTTCATAAATCCATATCATAGCCGCCACAGGGTCCTGGGTCCCATCAAACTCTGGTGGTTTCGTGTTGCTGAACTCCCGAAACAACGCGTCCCCACCCTGCGGCCTCGTAGCAGCAACAATTGCGGTGGCCACCACAACAGCAGCCTCAGAAAGAGCAGCATAACGCTCATCGAAAGTCTCAATCAACGTGGTCTTAATGGACCCGGACATCTCTGGTATCTCTACCCTGATGGCCGCAGCCACCTCCTCGTGAATGATCTGACGGACCTCCTCATCGCTAGCCCCAACGCCCTCTGGCATATGACGTGTCCTCACCATGATCAACCGCTGAAATAAAACATACGATAAATTAGAATCCAGTCGAGCATACTCACACTCGACAACTCATCCCTCCTTGATCCTTGGCATTCCGAAGATTCTTATTCGGACCGTACACCGCCCCGGTGCTTTCAGTAGTACGGGCCCAATACTACTGTCCACACTGTTTTAGTATACACCCCAAATCCTCCTCTTCGACTCCTAATTTCCAAGTACTCTATCACTTTCTAACAGATCTCTCATAAGCTCCTCGCTACTACCTATTCTCTCTCAAGCATCTCATAGCAGCTCAACGCTCCCTAGGCTAAGGCATCACAAATTAGGGCACTCTAGTCCTAATAGGAATAACTGGCCTACTTTAGCAAGAGAATACATCATAACAATCTCATATACATATAATATAAGGGTATTTTGGGAAATCACCGTTCGGGCGCTGACTGATCGTACACACGTTTCTTCTCCGAATTTCTCTAGAAATCTTTTACTTCTAGAAAATTTGGTTCTCTTTTGAAAATATTTTCCAAATCCTCAGTTTGAGTTCAAATACTCCCGAAGGTGTACCCGAATCCCTCAAACCAAGGCTCTGATACCAACTTGTAACATCGTAAATTTCAAGACAATTTTTTTTTCCAATTTTATAAAAACATAATTCACTTAATATTCATAAAACAACCATGTTTGAAATTCAATCCAAGTAATACAAAAATCCCAAGATCTCAAAATCATAAATCCCATGCGTGTGTACTGATCAAGCCGGCGCCTTCCCACGGTCGTCACTAGTACCTAAAACAATAACACAAAACACTGTCAGCACAAAGCTTAGTGAGTTCCCCAAAATACCACATATAACACATATTAGCCACTCGAGGCTATAACTCTGTGGGTCCGTGCACCCAAACTCTGTGAACCCTCAGGTTCTAACTCTGTAAACATGCACAACATAAATCACAAAGAATAATGCAGCGCAACACATAACACAAATATAACATACAAGCACTGTATCACATAACTCTAGTTACCTACTCAAGGTATGTATAGTGAGAAGACTCACCTCGCATATCTCGGTAACTCGCAAGTCCCTGAAATCACTCGTGCTCGATCTCCCGATCTATAGTCCTCCTATAACACAATACATCTCTAAATAACACTTCACAACTAAGGTTGACTATCCCTTAACAAGTCAACATAGGTCAACACTGGTCAATGGTCAACGGTCAACTTTGACCGGACTCGGCGAGTGCACTATAGCGACTCGGCGAGTCTATGCGCATACACTGATTTCCCTGGGATCCTCACTTGACACGACGAGTATTCTCCTAGCTCGACGAGTTCCACCTGGCATGAGTTGTGGGGCCTCCACGACTCAACTCGCCGAGTCTCAAGAACAACTCGGCGAGTCCCAGCTTGACTCAGTCCACCTGTCAACCCACTCTGACTCTCCCTGACTCACTGAGTCAATCCCTTAACTCGGCAAGACCACTCGCTGAGTGGTGCTGGGCAATCTTCATGCTACTCGCCGAGTCTGTTCTTCGGACTCGGCGAGTCCATGCCATGCAACAACTCAAACTCACTCCTGAGGTCAGATCTGTTCCATACATTCATAGATCTGGCCTCCCAAGCATGATAATCACGTAAAGTCCAAACCTTGGGGCTCAAACAACAACTATTTGCTCATAAATGATGTTTTAGCCCCATATCTCATAACTCTAGGCCAATACTCTCATGAACACTCATAAAGCTTAAGGAATACAGCTCTTCTGGACCTCTATGGATCTCATCTCAAGCCTTATCATGATTAGGGACGAAATGGACATCAAATCTAACCAACAAAGGGATCACGAAACCATAAACCCCCATGTTCATCATAAAAACGAAAAAGGAAGCCAAGATATACCTCCAAGATGATGCTCTGAGCTCCAAAATCGCAGAATGTCCACTTCCCTTGCCTTCTCTTAGCTAGAATCTCCTTTGCCTTGCCAAACCAAGATCCAAAGATCAATAATGGCCTCTTTTCTCTCCCAAAACGCTCAAATCTCTTTAGGGTTTCTCTCTAGGGGTTGGTGGCCGCAAATGATGGCCATAAGCCCCTTTAAATAGGTCTCAAACCCTGGGAATTAGGGTTTCATTACATAGCGTGGACTCGCCGAGTCCAGACGCGAACCTGCATCCAAAATCACGATCCTACTCGTCGAGTTTGAGCTCCAACTCGCCGAATCCACTCACAATTCTCCAAAAATACACCAATAATAAATACTTGGAAATTCCGGGCTGTTACATGATTTCTATTACGATTTCTCACCTTTTGTTTGGGATGATATGTAATAAAGTCGTGTACCCACCCATGAAGCCTTGAAAAAGAAGCCCTTGGAAACTTCTCAATAAGTTTTCAATTGACATTCACTGGAAAACACATAAGCAGTTGATTATCTCTCTTGATAGTTAACGAAGAAACGTTTGCCCAGAGTTTCTGAGTAATACCAACTTAGGCTGAAGATTTCGATAGTCTGGCACATGACTCCACTTTAAATCCCAAAAGTGAAAGAGCCTAACCTCAACCCGAAGGTTTCTGACGGTTCATATTACATTGGGAGAAATAAATAGGCTGTGAGAAGCGACGTCTTGTATTCTATCTGGTTTTCAAGGAGAAGTGCCAATTAATTTTTCACGCGTGGATACTTTATCGGCATGGTGGTGCGAGTTTCAAGGTGCCACGTCGAAATTCATTAAATGCACATCCCGCTTAAAATTCAAATATCAGGGTTACATATAAAAAGGAATTCAAGGGCTTGTTATCAGTTTACGCTTTCAGAAGAAAAATTCCCAAATTCTCTCTGAAAAATCCAATTGTTGTTCATACGATTTTACAACCCTAGTCATGGCTGATCAAACTAATGTTGATGCACCATCCTAAATCACAGAAGATGTTACATCTGTACCAATCATGAAGATTCAAGGAACAAACTATCAAGTAGAAGCGGATGAATCTCTTTACCCTGAAGGATTGAAGATGTTGGTGGTTTCCCTAAAGAGTTGTGTTCTTTTGAGAACTATGTTTAATTCTTTTGCAGTACCTTTATCCTGACTTTCACAAGCAGGTTGTACTACAACATACTCTAAAGCCTAGATGTCATCACATTCAACTTGGTGGATGATAAGAAGGTACGATTGACAAAGAAGTTGTTTTGTCAAATTTTGGATATTCCAAACTCTCAACCATTCAATGCTCTTTCGACTGTTCAAGTGATTCATATGTTCAATGAAATGGGTCATCAACCCCCACTCACCAAGATAAGCGATTTTAAGAAATCCGGTCTTCCGACAGTCTGGAACATTCTTTTTGGAATCTTTTTATGCTGCTTAACTAGTCGCAATGTGGGTCTTGAAAAAGGAAGAATGGAGGTTTATGCCATGGTTGCAGGGGTTTATTATGATATTCCAGTCGACTACTCAACTCAATTATGGAAGGAGTTTTAGAAGAGTGTCGAAAACACCAATGTTGTGCAAGGTATTTCATGTGCACGATATTGGAGTCTTATCCTCAGATATTTCTATGATAAAGAGGGAATTCAGGTGAATGCTGAGGAGGAAACTGCAAATTTCTTGAAGTATAATTTTCCTAAAGATGTGTCTGATGATGAAGAAATATTTTTGCATGTTGCACGCATTCCTGATGCAAATTTGAAAAGAGTTGATCCAGCGAATGTTGTGCTTATCGAATATATGACCACAACTGATCCCAAATTTGAAACTAGGAAGTTGTTAACGAAAGAAGATGCAGGTCCTTCGAAGAAATCTAGGACCACAAAGAAGACTGAGATCATAATTCCCGAGACAAATGTTAAAGAAACGACAACATCAAAGTCTCCCAAGAAAACAACGAAGCAGATGAGTTAGTTTCGAAAGCTGTGATAAATCATGTTGAACCTGTTGTTACAGAACCAACTTCAGTTACTATTCCTTCGAAGACTAGAATTTTTGAAGATTAAAGCTGAAGTATGGTGGTTCTCCCACTTCGAGTCTAGTTCGCAAACCTCATGTTACTTATCAAGGGGTTGTTATGCGCGAAGTCCCAACTCTCGTTTCTCCTCACTCAAAGAAACAAAAGGCTGAGGATATGGTTAAGAAAATTTCGAAGAAAAAGAAGAAGACAAAGAAAAGGAAGTTAGTAATTCCAACACAATCATCTGAAGAAGAAGAAGAAGAGGTTCCTGAAACACCCGAACCTATTATTGAGCCTACATCTCCTGAGAAAACTGTTATCATAACATCCGAAGTTTCGTATGCCAAATCATCTCATGAGGAGGTACGAACTTCAGACATCACTGCAAAGGTATCCGATACGGGTGTAAATGTCATCATGGGTGAAGGAGATCTATCAAAGTAAACTACTCAACCTCAACAAGGTACTCCAATTGCTATTTCTATCAAACCCATTATTAGTACCTTTGTTTCTTTACCTCCATTTATCATTCCTACTACTTCCACCACTGAGTCACCAACCTTTCAAAATATCATCAACCAACCCTTTACATCCACTTTTTCATCTCAATCCACTGATCCACCCAAAACGAATGATGAGTCTAATAACGAAGAAGGTGGCTTTAGAGGTACTTTTGAAGATATGGCTTTTGATGAAGAAGAATAGGATTTTCCAGACCACATGCTGATGTCCATGAAACAATTCAAAATTCTAAATAAAAAGCTGAATTCAATTGTTGAGTCTCAAGCAGACATGGGGGGAGGAAGTTCGTTGTCCAGTTTTGAAATTGATGGACTCATGAAGGCTTCTGAAGAACAAATGCTGAGCAAGATGTCTGGAATGATTAGAGATACCGAGTCCATAATATTAAAAAAGGTTGATCAAAATGATCAAAACACTGAGTTAAGGGTAAATTGTTTTAATTCAAAGTATGTGGGGGCTGTCAAAGAGATAATAAATGTTCAAAAAGAAAGACATACTTTGTTTGTTATGGATGTGAAGAAAGTGAGAGAAGATGTGAATCTTTAAGCTTCAAGAGCTTTGTGATGACATGGTTCATGAAATTGCAATTGTTCAGAATGATTATGCCACTCTGCATAAGAAAGTTGATATTATTTGTGATACTGTCACGAAATATGTTAAGTTGTAAGAAAGCTTGAGTCCTCAAATTACTCAACTTTCTACAACTGACAATCAATAGTTTTGGGAGGTTATTTCGATGCTTAAAGATTTGAAGGATTCGGTGCTCAAGCCTGCAACATCTTCAATAATTACTCCAGAGTTCCTTTCCCAAAAATTTTTACAGTTCAAAGACATTCTTCATAAACAACTAGCTCCTCTATCTACTATTTCGAATCTTCTTCCAATTGGTGCCCCACCTGTTCGAACACGGGTGCAAGGGGAGAGAAGAAAATTGGAGAAGCTTTTCACGCAAAGACTGGAGGTGATGCTTCACATGGAAAGGTGAAATTTGTGGGAAAAGTCTATCCTTCGAATGTTCCGTTGACCAAGCCAATAATTTCGAGTGTTGGACCAGTTACTTCAACTGTTGTAACGTTTATACTAATATCAAATTCGATCACAAAGGGAATTGTAATTGGATCATCTACTGGCCAAGGTGAGGCTTCGAAAGCAAAAGATGATACTGTAAAATTAACAGACAAAGGCAAGCTAATTTTTGTTGAAAAATCAAAGGATGAGAAGAAAGCAGAGGTGGAGGCTGAAATTGAAAAGTTAAGGGTAGTCCAGAGGATAATGAGGCAGAGGGCGAGTGATCCTCCTAGTTTGAACAAAGGAGATCCTGCCAAACATTACAACTACAAAACGATTGAAGCGAAGGTGGCATTCAATAACATGTATGCATTCGAAAAGAAACCGAAACAGATTTATGGGGTTTCTAATACAGATATGAGTCAGCTTGACTTTCCGATTAATTAGATGATGTTTCTGATGCCTCAATTGAAAGTTTCGGATAAATTCAAAAGCGAAAAGGATTACAACTACATGAAGCTTCGTTTTCATGCAGTTCTTACTAAAGCTCCAGAAGAAATTTGGCCGTTGATCAAAATCAAGAAAGTTATAAGCATCAAAATGGACGTGTTATTCGAAGATATTATGCAGAATGTTCGATTTTTTGTTGCAACGGCGAATGGTTAGAATTGTGATTTCACAATTGCAGATTTTCCTCTTATGAATTTGTATGACCTTATACAAGTTGCTCTTCTCTTGAAAGGCAAGAATTCCTCATACTTTCGAGAAACAGAACCTGAAGTTTTTCGACTGGGAGTGGCTCACATCAAGATTTTCTTGGAGAAATATTATGAGTGTTTGGTACTTATAGATGTGGAGCTAGCTACAGTGAAATGATTGATGAGTTTTGAGCAATACATCATTCCTATGGTGTACATGAAACCCTAATAGCTTTTGGATCTAGTTTGTCTAATGAACATGAAATTGAATATCCAAAGCTATAAACACTATATATAGCATACAATTAATCATATTAACATAAAATAGGGTTTAGATCTGACCTTTGATTGTTATATAGCAATAGCAATCAATCCTTAGCTTCAGAAAGCTTAGTGCCTCAAGTGTTGCACCTCTAATGGAGTCACAAACACCACTAAGAAACTTGGATGAAGGAGGAGGAGGGAGGAGACACCAAAAACGGCTGGAAACCCTAAAGGAACTCTTAGCCACGTTTTTGGGGTATAGGGGCCCTTTATATACATGTAGGTTATTAGGCTTTACAGCTAGGAAACCCTAATCTGACTGTTTAAGCCCTAAGCAGCCCATGGACTCCTTTAAGATATCCCTTGGACAAATTCCTTATGGGCTTACCATATAATTCATCCAACCTATATATTATTAGGTAATCCATAGCCCAATTGTAATTACCTTATAATTACAACTCCAGTCCCTAAAGTTTAACTAATATCTTTTAACCACAAAATTAATTCTTAATTAATTCTTGACTAATATTAATTAAACATTATGATTTCTCCTTTAATATATTATTCTTATAATATATTAATAAATCACAATTAAACCTCTCTCTCCTTAATTCATCCTACATATTGCTATTGTGAAGGAAACCCAAAAGGACCATGCTCATAATCGGGTCAAGTACATACCAAAAGAGTTACGGAATTAGACACTAATCCAACAGTCCCCCACTTGGATAAGTCTAATAACTATTTTCCGTATGACTTCAGAACCTGATCAGCAATCGTAGCTTTCAAAAGCCGCTGTCAACTCTGATCTTATCAGATACGCATGTCCTTTAGATAAGGGATCATGTATTCCTCCATTATCAAGATATCGTATAGGCAGAAGACATGAACTTCGATCATTCTCTCTATAATGTTTCCTGACTTCCGATTTATGACGACTGACAACAGACCACAATTAAACACATCAACTTAGTCTTGGCTTGGCCAAGCGCTTAGATGTCATCACTAAATCATTGAGGGGCCCACAGATATCACTTTTATCTTACTTTGAGTAGAAGGAATGGATGTGCGTTTACTTATAATCAATGTGCAACCGACCAACAAATAACAACTCACACGTCTCGGTTTTAAGAATATACAATGTTATCGACTCACAATCACTCGTGATGAAATCCATGAAGTGATTCTTGTGAGCATGGGTTTAATCCAATGCTCTAATCTTATTAAAGAACTCATGAACTCTGTAGCAAACTTGTTCTATGTCTAAACTCTTTAGACAATCTACAGACTCTTCATAACAGTCTTCCTTCATACCTATTTCCAACGTATGACCGACTGTAGAGGTTTCAATAACCATTTATTCTGGAAATCAAAACATGCAAATTGAAACATAACAATAATACTTAATCCTATATGGCCCCAAACTTTTGAGAGTAAATAAAACACTTTTATTTAAAAACCATATTGATTACTCATTATTCATCGTTTACTGTTTCAGAAAATCAACTTATTACTCAAATTACAACAATAGTTGTCCCATGCACAAACCATGCTCACTATGTTTCCTATAGTCCTTACTGTGTGAAATAGATCAATTGAAAAACTTTTCCAATGATGCTCATTTCATAATTCCCAATCCTTATCATTAGTGTTAGAACACAAGGTTCTTGCCACTACTAGAATATTCTAGATTCTAACATTTTATGCAACGATCTTTTCGCAAAGTCATAGCACAAAAGTCACCAAGACTTGACCAATGAAATTACAAGGTATTCTATCGGAAATTGTTACAAGACAATTCCATAGATATGAAGTCTCACATTCAAAGTACATTGCTTTGAACATCCTTCTTGCATAAAATTTTCTAATAGAATCTTCTATATTTGCCATATGACAACTCATTCTTAATAGAATCTTATCTATTCATAATAATGTCGATATGGTCCATCCAATACCATACTTCCAACTACTCATAAGCGACCAATCCACAATAAACTTTGGATCATCCTTTGATAGTTGTTTAATTATTTTAGTCAAAACCAATTCTATTCCTTTTTCCCTCTTAATGTGCCATAAATTTGGGAGATTTTAGAATGGTCAAATATTATAGCACTTGCAAGCGATCCTATACCCAAAGCATATGGGACACGATGCATAATGTCTTACACAAAGATATGATACTTTATCAATCTTCTGCCATAATATTTTATGTGTCACGTTCTCACAATTGGAACTATGAAGAGGGATGCCGTAATCATAATCGAAATTTAAGAACACACTATGTATCCTTTGACTAAATTTATTAAAATTTCTCAATCTAGGCTTTAGATTTTGAAATGAAGTATAATATTATCTCCCTTAATTATAGCAAAAACAACTTTTCAACCCATGCAACTTTGCAAATTGAATCTTTGTTTTCCTATAATTAATATTGCTAACTTGCAATACTTTGCATAATAATCATACAAACATAACACTTATGCTCCCACTATCATGATGATTATTATCATATAAGCGTAAAACTTATGCTCCCACTAGCTTTGACATGTATTTAGAAAACAATTGAATTTCCAGAAAACAATGTCGATTGAATTTCTGAAATTCATATTTCTAATACCAGATGATTCGATAAGCCTTTATCTAAGCTTCTTAAACTTATACATCTTTGCCCCAGATAGCTCATATGTGTGTCTAAAGAATTCAGAACTTATGTTACTAAGTCCCAAATATTTAGACTAATTGCCAAATCTCACAATTTGAACTATGGAAAGGGATGTCGTAACCGTAATCGAATTTGAGAATACAATTTTCATAATTGCTATCTTCTTAAAATCTCTCTTAGTGAAAAAATTTCCTCATAGTCATTTTCATGAAGGAGGGAATCTTATGACACTTAGATTTTACGGTGTATGAGTTCCTATCCATGTGAATTTGCTAAAACCAGGTTTGTGACAAATCCAAACTCATATGGATTGAACTTTCTTGATTTCTAGCCATATGGTAACACGAGTGCCCACCATGTCTTCCAAGTAGTTTAGCAACTTATCCTTACATATGAATTTACTTTCCATTGATCAAGGTGCTTTGTCTTTATGCATTCAAATGAGAACTCATAGAACTCACATGCATAATTAACTCAATTGGAATGACACATAAACAAAATAATGTCAACACGATAGGTTGTAAACCTCAAGTCGTTTGCTAGTGCTGATCGATAAGGTTTATTCTTAATTTGTTCATGAAACCTTTTTCAAGATCATTAAAACTCCCCCTGACCTCTTGAAATATATGATTCTCTTGTCAGGAAACTTTCCTAGACAAAACAAATATTCAAGAGTTAGTGTAGTTCTTATCAAGACAAAACACTTCACATAATTGGTCCTAGTTGGTCTTTGTCTTATCCAAGACATTACAACTTACCAATTTCAAATGTGGAAGAATGAGAAATTTTTCCCAATTCCACATTTGATGAGTGTTATAAACCTACTTAAGACTTTTCACCCAATTCACAATCTTGACTCTAAGACTTGATATTGGAACGAAGTATGATTGACTTCTTGATTTTAACCATTTCTACAATTCTCAATTCCTCTTCTTAGGCATGCAATTGCACTAAGACTCGCTTAGAGGATCAATTGAGACATGGTTCTTAATCATTAAGACTTATCATAAAACACAACAAAAGTTACTCTCCCTTCTTCTCATAATAGAAAAACTTTTATCTTTCTGCCTACTAGATTCTTCTTATTCGTTCTGTTATTGATTTAAACTCTTTTAATCAACTTAGAATTATACTCAATCTTATAAGTATAACCATGTTTACTAAACTTTAGTAAATCATGATGAATATCTTTTTCACTCTTGTGGTGGACTTGATCAATGCACAACCTAGTGTACTTGATCTCCTAGTCCTTCAATTGACACTTTGTCAAAGAATTAGTCTAAATTTCCCAAATGTGAAAGTTATTCATTCATCATACAATACACGTTGCATGATTCCAAGTTTCTATCCACT